ATAGACAAGGAGTTTCCCAGAACCGGAGCAGCAAATTCAGTGAATTTATCAGCAAAAGTTGACAAATCTGAGAAACTGCAGTCAGGTGTGACATACATGTTTGTGATATATATGTATTTGTATTTGCTCAAATGTTTGGGACGACATTTGATGGTAATGCACTCAATTTTTTCGTTAGAGAAGCAGAAGCATACATAGTTGGAGGACGACCAGTTAGTACTAATAAATGTTGCTACACCACCACCACATTTCTTCTTCGAAAAGCTTCGATCTTGTCGAAATAATTTGAAACCATCTAAGCAGACTAAGTCATCATCATACAGATTATGAAGCCATGTTTCCTGCAGCATTATTACACCCGTGTTTCGATAAACATTTGTGGACAAGAGTGACTGAAGGTAATCAACTTTATTCGGCAACGACCTGCAGTTTGTGCTAAGTATTTCCGGAATAGTCATTTGATCTATGGTCATACGCTTCAGAGCTCGTTGCCATCCACCGTGGTGCTTCTTCTTAAATTTCCTATCAACTTGCGAAGCGATAGGTTGTAATGATTTTAAAAACGTGCGAGAATATACAATACGATTGGTTGACATAATTAAACGATTAAAACAATACAGAAATAAGAAATTTGATGCAATATACTCGATGATAGAAAACGGTAGTCCAGAGTTCAAGCAGGCTGTCAAATAACAAGAGAATTAATAGTGTGTATTTACATACCTTTTTGGAAAATAAAAATTATAATTAATTATTCATCAATGGAATTTAAATTTAGATTTACTTGAGCTATAATACAAAGATTTTAATAGTAACATATTCAACCAGCATAAAATTTGCATCGACTTTTTGAAATATTATCCTCATTATTTTTGCCTACTAACTAATAATTCAGTAGTAAAACTAATTTTAGTAAATGTCTAAGTTATCTCTGACAAAAAATTATTATTAGTCCCTTGGGTTCCTAGTGGAACATAGGGCTGCAGTAGCACGCCTCCACTGACCTCTGTTCTCTGAGATCTTTTGAACCTGGCTCCACGACAGCCCACAAGCTCTCATTTCCTCCTCGCACGACCTCCTCCATGTCACCCTCACCTCGGACACCCAACTCGTCGTTTCCCATGGGGATTCCACTCGAGCAACTGGCCTGACGCGTGATGTCCCCAATCGGCCTTCTCAGTGCATGCCCAATCCATCTCCACTTCCTTCTGCATATTTGTTGCGTGATAGGTTGTTGGTTGGTTCGTTCCCAGAGCTCCTTGTTGCTTATTCTTTATTCTGGCCCATCTGATCTCCAGTAGCGAGCGTAAGCAGTTGTTGATGAATGTCTGTAGTTTATTGGAAATACCTTTCGTGACGCGCCAAGTCTCTGAACCATACAAGAGCACTGACTTGACGTTGGTGTTGTAAATCCGTATCGTGTTCCGCATGCTGAGTGCAGAAGATCTCCACACTGGTTTCAGGCTAATGAACACCTGTCTTGCTTTTCCGATTCTGACTTTGACGTCCTCGTCCGTCCCGCCTGTAGTTGAAACAATGCTTCCTAGATAAGTGAAGGAGGTTACTTCCTTCAAGTTTCTCCCGTTGACGGTGATTGGAGTTTGTTGTTGCTGTTGATGGTGGTGGTGCGGTATCTTCATCACTTCTGTCTTCTCTATATTCACCTGAAGTCCCGTCTTAGCTGCCTCTTCTATCAACTTGTTAGTTTTTGCCTGCAGATCTTCAAGTTTATGTGACATTAGGCACAAGTCATCGGGCGAAATCCAAGTCTTCTAGGTTCTTTTCCGTCGTCCAGCGTATCCCCCTCTTCTCGCTGCCTACTGTTTGCTGCATGATCCAGTCCACCACAATCAGGAATATCATGGGGGATAGTAGGCAATCTTGTTTCACTCCTGTCTTCACTTCAAAAGCATCACTGAGCTTCCCATTGTGAATTACTTGGCATGTGGCATCTTCATATAGTTGTTGAATGAGGCGGATAAAGGTTTGCGGTACTCCGTAGTATTGAAGCAGTTTCCAAATTACTTCTCGGTCGACGTTGTCAAAGGCCTTCTCAAAGTCGATGAAGTTGAGGCAGAGAGCTGATTGCCATTCTATGCTCTGTTCTATGATGATGTGAAGCGTTGCAATTTGGTCTGCACATGATTTGTACTTCCTGCATCCAGCCAGCCAGTTCCAGTCGTAGTTTTGAATCCAGTGCATCTTTAAGCCTCTCCAGGATGATGCGGCTTAATATTTTACTTGAGGTGGACAGGAGAGTGATTCCGCGCCAGTTCTTGCAAGCACTGAGGTCTCCCTTCTTCGGCAGTTTGACAAGGTAACCCTTCTTCCAATCGTCAGGTACCTTCTCTTCCTTCCACACCTTCTGCAATAGTGGTGTGAGCATGTTAGCTGTTGTCTCTGCATCTGTTCTCAGTGCTTCTGGCGGTATTCCATCTGGTCCTGCTGCTTTCCCGCATTTCAGTAGCCTTATGGCGTTCACGACTTCCATTTTCGTTGGGGGATTTATGTTCACTTGTAGTTCAGTGGCTGGGCTGCAGGTGGTATTTCTGGACGAAGTGCAGGTGGTGGTTGATTCAAGAGCTTCTTGAAGTGGTCGGCCCATCGTTTCCTCTGTTTCTCTTCTTTTGTAATTAAATTTCCTTCTTCATCTTTATTGGTTTCATCTGTGTTGATCTCCTCCCACATAGTAACCTGGTTATTTGATACAATGTTGTCAGGTCTCTATCTCTCCTACCTGCAGCCTGTTCTGCTTCACTTGCCAGTGTTTCGTAGAAGTGTCTTTTGTCTTTGCGTGCACTCTTCTTCACTTCTTTGTCCAGTGTTTTATACATTGTGCTCAGTTCCTCTTGTCGTTGAGCATCCTTGCACTGGTTTATCTTCTGCTTCACCATCCTCCTCTCCTCTATCAGCTTCCAGGTATCCGTCGAGATCCATTCCTTGTCTTCTTTCTTCTTCCTTCCTAATACTGTTGTGCAGGTTTCTTTCCACATAGCTTTCAATGACTTCCAGTGTTCTTCCACACAGGTTTCTTCAGGGATGTTGCTCGATGTCTCCCATTTTGTCTTGATGGCTGCCTTGAAGATCTCCTTTGTAGTTTCATCCTTCAGTTTCCGAGTGTTGTACTTGAATTGAGGTCTATCACCAGCATCATTGAAGGCTTTTAACTTGATTTGGAAGGTTCCTTGCACTAGACAGTGAGTGGTCTGAACCTACATCTGCTCCTCTTCTTGACCTTGTGTTAAGTAGACTGCGTCTCCATTTTCTTGAGATTGAGATAAAGTCGATTTGATTTTTAGTGTGTCCATCTGGTGAAATCCATGTCGCTTTGTGGATATCTTTGTGCTTGAACACACTGCCTCCAATCACCAAATCGTTGAATGCACAGAATTCTGCAAACAATTCTCCATTCTCATTCATTTCACCTAGCGCCTCTCGACCCATGGTTAGTTCTCTTCCTGTGTTGTCCCCTCCCAGTTTGGCATTCATGTCGCCCATTAGAATTTTGATATCGCCAACTGACGTCTAATCCAGTGCTGATTGCAGTTGTCTGTAGAATTCCTCCTTTTTCTCTTGCTCTTCATTATTTGTAGGTGCATAGCATTGTATGATTGTGACATTCCTTCCTTTTGAGTTGAGTCTTGCTGTCATGATCCTGGAGGAGATTGGTTCCCACTGCATGAGAGCCTTCGATGCTCTTGAGGACATCATGATAGCCACTCCAGAACTCAGTGTGCTCGTGGTTGTTGTCTGGATGACATATCAGAGTAGATTATTGATTCTCCAGTTGACAGTTTGGAGAGTCCACTCCCATTCCATCTGCTTTCGCAAATCCCAAGCACTTCGATGTGATACCTTCTCATCTCGTTTGCAATCTGGGCTGCCTTACTGGGTTCAAACATCGTGCGGACATTCCATGTCCCCACCTTTACTCTTGCTTTCATCGAGAGTGAGAAGACACATCGGCCAATTGGCTTCCCGAAGCAGGCTTTCACCAACTGGCGTCATTTCGCCTCTCCGATTCCAGCGGGGAATAAGTTTGTTTTCATTTTTTATATTTTGTTTGTGCTTTGAAGTTTCTTTAGCGGTTAGATTTGTTTTCCGGGGTAGGGTTGCTAGTGGTATGCCCAACCTTCCCTCTTTACCCGGGCTTAGGACCGGCTAGTAACAAGTGTACTAGTTAACCAGGCGAGGTTAACAAAAAATTAGTGCCAGGCTATTCTATGAAAGACGGAACTTTTAGGCTTTATTTCGTAGTTTCTAAGGGAATCCACTTAATGACTTTATGTGTAAATTATGTGATGTAATTGGATTACGTTGTTGGACACTGGTATAGGTATTCTAATACCCTGAGAATATTTTAGCCTCGAAACTATGAATACATCTTATTCAACCACTCAGTCTCCCGATATTATGCAAACATAATCCTCACATAGGTGGATTAAGAATCAGTATTCAAACCCTTATGTCTTTTTATAAGTAGTAATACAGATGAAGATGCCAGTTATTCGATGTTCTCCAAGATTCGAAGCCTCTTTTTAGGCGTTTCACCACAAGGCTTGGTGACTTCATCAACATTTAGTTGATAATGAAAGGAAGTATTTTCATACCTCATGAATATTTAATGACCTTGAACATTATTTTTTCGTGAGTAGGAGTGATCTTCTCCTCTTCCTCATAAGAGGTCAACCTGTTATTATTTCACCCATGCTGCTGACCTACTACTGGTTCTTAATTTGCTGGATTGACCCTTTCCTAGCGGTCCCTATATTTGGTTAGTATCCACTTGCCTCTTGGTTTCAATTTAGTTGAAGCGTCAAGCTTCCAAAAGACTTTTTGCAGTCTTTTGACCTTGTTTATCTTTTCATGTTGTCTGAATTAAAGTTGTGGTTGTGCTCAGCTACATCCATCCATATAACTGATGACATATAGTGCCATCCGACTGTGATGACAGTTTATGGAGTAACATCACTCAATTCTTTTCTTTTTTTCTTTTACAGATGGAAATGCTGAGAAAGCTGGCCTCAGAGCTGGAGATCAGATTATTGAAGTAAGTTACTGTGAATGACAACAGTTATCTTCCATAAGAAAGACATTATCATTCTGTTAGATATGTTTGGATTTTCACAAATGATATCTCATCACTTAGACTGTTTAAAGCGATCTTATTTAACAAACTGGTCCTAATATATGTAAAGAATGATGACAAATGAAGGAAGTTCTGGATCATGGTGAAGCTTCATCTATCAGTTAGCTCTAAGTCAATAAGACTTCTGAATAATGAGTCATTCATAGTTCAAATTAACTGGGATTGGGATAAGGGGAATCGTACACTTCCTTTGTGTGGTAAAGAATAAACAGTTGTGCATCTATGAACCACACGAAAACTAGAAAAATCTGGAGTTCATATTTTACTTTAGTTTTCGTAAACTATCAAATGTATGCAAAAACTGGGAACATAAGTTTACCTCTTTTTTTCGTTATTTAAGTGTACTACTGAAAAAGGAATAAAAGTAGTTAAATTATTATCTGAATATTTCAAGGATACGTCTCACGGCGACGTTTGGCTTGGTCTCTGTATTTGGATTGATGAAATTTTAAGTGTATGTGGAATTTACAAGAGCTGCATTTTTGAAGCATTTAAAAGCAGGAACTCGTTCCATTGGTCAAGTAAATTATACCCTCAAAGTTAATTCGCCTATAATTGTTCATCCTACTTTAACAACCTAAAAATAAAAGGTATCACCATTGGTTCAAGGGAAGCTAGTCTTCAGAAACGGTAACACTTGATCAAAAAATGATGTGTAGTAAACTGAACTGCGAATTTTTTGAGTACAATTAATAGCCCCAAGTTAAAATCTTTCTCGATCACACCTTACATACTTAGTCATACAAAAAACCTCATAAAAGGCATACAACAATGGCAGTGTAGCTCAGTAACCACATATGACGTTGTGCAGTCAGTGAAGAATCAAACCTGCTGCTTTACAGCTAATAATACTAAATACCCATCTTAACCGTAACTGCTAGATAGGTGGTTTAAAATGACAGCCTATTGGTTGACGCTTGAATGCTCAAATTAGTGAGATGAATGAGGATTTTTAGTTTAGAGGTAGTATTTATCAAGGACTGACATCAGATAGGGAACCAGCTGTGACCATTCGGAAGGGAAGCGGATACCTTGGGTGATAATCACACTATATTGTGAACCACTGAAAATCGACCCAGTTACTGAATGTTTAACGCGTTCGCCTATGAAATGTGAAGGTCCTGAGTTTGATCTGCAGCCAGGTCGTCAGTGTGTAATCCTGAGGAGTCCCATACTAGGACGAAACAGCTGTCCAATGTTCTCAGATTTCCAACGGTTCCCCAACTGATGTCAGTCTATAATGAACACTACCTCTAAACTCTAAATGTTGTCAATTTTATACCAGGAATTGTACATACGAAACAACCAGGTTAGTAATTTCAACTTTCAAACATTTCAGGTTCTTTAAATCCATTTATATTTCGATACTTTTTATCATCAGTTTCATTAAAGGTGAAGAAAACTCCAGAGGATATATGTGATCAAATCAGTTCAGTAGGGCTGTGTAACAGTGTTCATGTTTTGGTTATTTTTGAATTAGATATGCATGGTAACAATGCAAATATTTAGTCAATGAGAAGTGATTTCTTAGTTAGTAAACAGTTATGTTGTTCTGATCTGATAATTGTAATCTTCTGTCAGTTTACTGGGTTGAGTTGCTCGACCTGTTTTAGCAGATAGTCTTCTACGTGGAGGCTTGGATACTACTCAATTACTAATTATGTTTCATTCTGCTTATTGGTGACTAGTAATCAAATAACCAACATGCGTTTCGTCCTATTCGCGACCGATTAGCTGAATGTACCTCCACCCTAGTGAGTGATTCTGTTTCCATTGAAAACCGAACTCAGTGCCCATCGCTTCAAATACCAAAGCGCTGTCTAGGCTGAGTAACTCGACCCCAGCATATAGTAACGGGGGATTAAAATTATCAAATAAAAACAACACTTGATACTCATTGAACAAGTGGCGGCTAACGTGCTTTAGTGGCGTTGTAGATAACACTTTGGCGTTTGAAGCGATTGGCACTGAGTTCAAGTTCCAAATGGGACAAAACGCACATCGTGGATTTTGTTGCTAGCCATCCAGCAGATCGCAATCCACACTGTTGTTGTCTTAGGAGGTTTCAGTAATCACTTAGTACTACAATCCTGACTCAGTCATGTCGTGTATAGTTTAGTATGTAAATTTTTAGATATTTGTAAAGTTGCATTTATTTTATGCTCTTCTGATTCAAGGTCGAGTTATACTTCTTCATTACCATGAACTTTACAAGTTTAGCTAGTTTTAAAATGTGACATTCAGGCAAACCATCAGTCATTCTATTCATGGATTTGAATAACTGATACGTATATGATATATTACCATTATTATTATTATTTGGTAGTAAGTTAAGTAGTTTTCATGTCTTTAGGGAGCTTTATGTTAGTATGCTATCGGTACAGAAATCTCAAAATTCAACAATCATGTAAGGAGATTCTCTATCCCGTGTACAACCAACTGACTTGGTGGTCCCAAGAACCTGCTTAACCCTACCCGTAAGATCACAACTGTTACTTCTTGGGCGTATTGTTCATACAATGTCCAATATTTCACTAAATGTTAAATTGTCACTTTCTTACTGTCTATATGGTTAATTATAAGAGAAGATGGTTGCTAGTCGACTCAAATTAGTCAGCTTGGTTCATAAACCTCAGTTTTTAAAAATTTACAATATGGAAGAGTATGTAAATCAGACCAGTTCTTAAAACCTAATAATATGTCAGTCAGATGATAAATACTTCAAATTATTTATCATTTATTATTTATTTAAATACTTTAGACTTTAAAGACTATTCCGTTATGTTTAAGTAAACTGTATCTTGTCCAGTTTTCAGTATATGTTGGATCTCTAAATCGTATCTATCTATATATACATTCCATAACAATTTTCTTCAGAAGTATTCTAATCACTCTGAAGGAATCTTCAGTATGTAAAAAAATTACTTTTAATCAGGCGAAAAAATATAAAAATTGGCTTTGTTACGTTAAAAAAAAAAGAGAAGTGTATTGAGCGTTATTAGAGTACCACACAGATGAAAATCGATAGGCTCTAAACTTCAAGGTCAAATGACACCAAGATGATAACTTCTAATTGCTTATCTATCTATCCATCTGTGTGTGTGTGTGCGTCGAATGAATATAATCCTGAGTCACTGAAATGATTGGAAGTGAAACGACTTTACAAGTGTTCTTATTCTTCAATGAAAACCTAAAAACGTGAGAGAAAAACAAACAAATTTTATTTGAATGAAAATAATCTACACATGCTTAATCGTCTTATCATCAAGAAGACAGAAAAAAAAAATTTAGAATCAGTTGTGTCTTTCTATTTAGTTTTTGAACATGTTTTACTTTGTCTTCAGTTAAATTTAAACTGTAGCCTATTTAATGGCTAGCTGTGGAATTCATGACAAGTGTTTCTTTCCATTTAAGACTCTATCGTCAGCTGGATGTAACTGTACTCCATCGTAGTGCTCATCGCTTCAAACACCAAAGCGTTATCCACGTTAGCCACCACTTGTTCAATGAGTATTAGGTGTTGTTTTGTTTTGATACGTATAATCTCCCGTTACTATATGCTGGGTCGAATTGCTCGACCTTTGTTGCTAGATAGGCTGCTATGGTGATACATCGATTTTTTTTCCCTTGGGTTCCTAGTGAAACATAGGGCTTCAGTAGCACACCTCCATTTCACTCTCTTCTCTGCAGTCTTTTCAACCTGGCACCACGACTGCCCACAAGCTTTCATTTCTTCCTCACATGATCTCGTCCATGTCACCCTCACCTCGGACACCCAACTTGCCGTTTCCCCTTTGGATTCCACTCGACGACCTGGCCTGGCGCATGATGTCTCCAGTCGGCCTTCTCAGGGTATGCCCGATACATCGATACTGACTAGATATTCATTATGTTGTAGTCTATTTGATGGCTAGCAGTGGAATCCAGGCTGCGCGTTCCGTTCTATTCGGGACTCACTGGGCAGCTGGATTTAATCGCCTCCCAGTGAGCAACGTTATCCCCACTGGAAGTCGAACACGAGACCGATCGCTTCAAACGCCAGAGGTTTATTCACTAGGCCACCAAGCCACGATAGCCACCTCTTATACGATGGGTATGGTTCTTACGTTGTTACTAGTGTTATCTCATCGTTGAGTAGACTGAACTGACCAGCCTCTGTTGACATACGGGCTCCTGCTCAGATGCCTTGATCAATCAATGACAGGATAAAACGAATAACAGCATTTTAGTTGGTTTGCTTTCAAAAACGGAAGTTGATTAGTTAATTCATTTCTTATAATTTTTTCGTTGCACAGGATGTGAACTAATTAAGGTATGGTAAAGTTTTTATACTTAGTAGTACGTGGATAAAGTCCTATATACTTGTTCTTGGTCTTACCTGACGACTGACACGTAGCGAGCTTTAAATGAGGAAGATGATGGTCGTCTGATAAAATGACTCCTCTTAGATGTTTATACAAGTTAAGATTTCTGTTCAAAACAGTTTTAATTAGAAGGTTTAGAGGTACACTACTAGTTCTGCTGATAATCTTCAGTTCTATGCAATATGGCACAGTCTTTTTCCAGCAATCCCGAAGGAATAAAGGGTAACAATAGAGGAGTATAGGCAGTATGCAGGAGTTTATAAAACACAAGAAAAGAGAGTGAGTTATACGGAATACTGTCAGGTTCCTAGCATAGTAAGTTAGGTGAAAGATTCTTTTGGAAAATAAAAAAAAATGGCAGGACCAGGAAAGGTCTGAAGAAAAACACACGCCGAGATAAATTACGCTTAGAGCATTCTCTAATACACAGTCATCAATAGAACAGGAATCTTGAAACTTGATGAACGTTTACATATTTTCCTCATGTACTGACATCAGTTTGAAGAACACTGGGAACCTGGGAGCTGTTTCGTCCTG